GCGCGGGCGCGCTCCCCCCCCCCCCCCCCCCGCCCAAAGCCGGCTCCATCCTTGCGCCCTGTCCCCGCTCCCTCCGGGGTCCGGCCGGGGAACGTCGCCGTATGGAGCTGCTGGACGCTGCAGTCGTCGTGTGCGGGAGCGGAGATTTCTCCCGCAAACCCTTTAGATGTTGCCTTAGAGATAAGGCTGCAGAAACAGCAGACTCCGGAGAAACAGAAAGAGCATGTTAGGTTCGTAAATCTATTAAAATAACCTCCAAACCACAAAAAGAATGTTGAAAGAAATTGTAGATCTTTGAAGGGTTACAGATTATCTCGTTTTGTTGGGCTTTATTCAAATATACTCCAAATTTACTCAAATTAGGAGCGTTTCTGACCTGTTCCAGAAGAGCTCGCTTTCTGCAGCCCGAGTTACAGTGGTGTCACACTGTGCTGAAGTATTTCATCCCTCGCTTTTGGGCTGGGGTTGAGCCCTTTCCTCTTTACTTGGAGGTCAGCGTACCGGAAAACAGCCCCCGCTTCAACAAATTGCTCGGATCCGCGGGACTGAAACTGTTCAACTGACTTACCCTGCCCGGTCCGGCCTAGGACGGGAAAAGAAGTTGGGATCCATAAAATCTGTTCTATGTGGATGTTCTACACACACGCACACACACACACACATATATATGGAAATTCATATATCATATTAGATGTTCTTTATGCTTGTAAATATGTTCTTCATCCTTGTGAATGTGGATATGGATACACACACCACTGGGTCTATACAGACACCTCAAAAATTTTGGCCATCAGAATCACCTGCCATGCTGCTCCACCACTGCAGTCTTTTCCTGACGTCCTGCTGCCACCACGGCAGGATTGACAGGTATTTTCTCAGCGCTACGTTGGAGTGGTTTCTGTGAGGTAATCTTTCTCCTGGTCCCGATTTGGGTTAAAAACTAGCTGTCAGTTTCTGGATGTCTTCATCAATCTGCTAGCATCTGATTCCCAAAGGGTTTCAATACTGTCAGCTTTATGTCAAGTTTGTGCTGGGATTTTGCAGATTATCTGGCTTTCCAGTCATACAGTCTGGCTTCCCCCCGCCCCCCACTACGTGCAGAGTACCTGGCTAGGCAAAGGATGGAGGATACTTTTAAAGGCATTCATAGGACTTTCCACTCTTCCACCGTCTTTCAATGTCACTTTTAAAAACACTAAATCAGAAAAATTTTCGGAAGTGGCTAGTTATGTGTGAGTGCTTCCTCTTTAAAATCTTGATACCTGTCTTTTGAAGGGTGTTGAGTGCCTACAGCACTCAGAAGAATCACGGAGGTATTAATCTGCCTGCGCAAGGCTCGGCATTTCAGCTTGTCGCTTAACTTCAGGGGCTGTGTTTACGAAGAAGGCAGCTACACCCTTCCAGTGCTCAGGCTGTTTCATCGCTCAAAAGCAGACAGCAGCCATATCTTTCATGGGAACATTAGGAAACTAAATTAACGGAAAACGCTCTTTATTTTCTGACGAAGAGAAGTTGTGCTGTAGCTGCAAAGACCACCAATCCACTTTAGTTTATGCCAAGGGGGATTTTCAGTGTGCAGACGTGTACGGTCCTGAAGGTACGAGCAGTGTAGCTTAGAATCTACTCTGAGGTTGTGAAAATTCGAACCCAAAAGGGCTAAAAAGTTGCAGCAGATATATATATATGGACTTTAAACACAAGAAATCAATAGCACTACAAAACCAAAGAACTATTATTTTTAATATTAACTGGGGATGGTGTCACATTAACAGCAGTTTTACCCTTTGGTAATTAATTCAATTTTGCTGCCTCTTCCTTAGCTATCAAAACCAATTTTAAAAAGCATAATACAGACATACACACTAAAAAAAACGGGCATAGGTATGCATAAGCCCAATAATAAGTATGGGGCTAATTTAGAAAAATGAGAAAGTAAAGGATAGCCTTTTCTAGCAGAAATATGGGAAACAGAAAGAACAGACAGGAGTCAATGAATCAGGAGGTGGAAGAAACAGCTCAGTATTTGAAAAGAAAGTGGTATTCAAAGCAGCCATATTGGTCACTTCCTTTCTCCTCCTTCAAAGAAAAATAACACCTAAAAAATCTTTATCTGTGATTTTAAATTTAAAGGGAAATGCAATGGTTAGTAAAAAACTAGTCAATGTCCGATCCTAATCGGTAAAATTCAACAATATGAGCACGGAGAATGATAAACGCATTCAGTGCTTGGAGTGGGTGCTTGGCAATGGATGATTTTTCCAGGTGAGACCACAGAACAGCTTTTGTCATTGGGCCTACGGCACCCTATCGGCTAAAGAAAGGAAAAAAGAGTCTGTTGGAGAAAGTGTAAGTCTTTGTAAAGTGGATGCCTTTGTCATTTGGACAAATATTTGAGAAACCTGCCAGAAGAGAGAAGGGAAAAGTATTAAATGGGCTTTAGCTTCCAGGTGGCTTTCCCTGCTCCAGATGGAATTGTAGAAACTTAGGGAGAGGAAGAGAAGGAAATTAGGGTCACAAACCCAATCATAACCATGAGCAACATCTCACATTTTGTATTATTCATGCGTAGGGATCTCCAAACAGCGCTTCTTAAATGCTTGCGTTTTCACCCTCCGATAAGTTTAAGGAGGGCTGCCTGGCACCTTTCCCCTGGTTTTAAAGCAAGCTCGCTTGCTCGCTGACAGGTTCGTGCCCGTTGTCAGCCTGACAGCCGTGCAGTAGAGATGTGAGACCAGAACAGGATCCGTGACATGGGTGTGACGGCCGCAGGTCTGGTCAGTTTGATCCTGATTGTATTTACAGATCCGCCACAGACTGTTCTGAGCAGCTGATTTTGGCTTCCTCGCCCCACTTTGTTCCAGAACCGACTGCTGGAAGAGCCTGGGTTCAACTGCGCTGTTTGAATCGCAGCAATTAGAATCAGCGGCTCGAAGCCTGTAGAAAGACATTCTGCTTTTTGTTCCAACACTTCAAAAAGTACAATTTCATCACGCGAAGGCCCTGACGAACTTCACGCTGCTCGGGGCTGGTGATGTCAGAGCCATGCAATATTTCCCGCTGATAACATAATAGCTGAGAAACATGAGTTTTGGGGTCTTGTTCGCCCTGCGTGGAGGCGGTGTGAGGCTGACAGCGGGAAAACGATGAACTCGAGGGGCTGGCGAGGGGCTGGCGGGGCGAGCAGCCG